AATTTCTGGTGACAAGCTGACTTTTCTCTTTGACACTTGCCCTTTTTATACTCCAGCAGAGACACTGTCTGGTTTTAGCACATTCATGCTGCCAGAGATGGAAAAGTGATTTCTTCTGGATCAGGAAAGGTTATAGTCTTCCTGCCCAAGATTAAAAATAACTGTCCAGAGTAAGAAGATAACTTCCAGCAAAGAAAACTTCTTTATTATTATTATTTTTTTTAACCTAAATTCCCATGATATATAATGTCCTAACTGAACTGGAGAACTACAGCCATCAGAGCCAATAATGCTCACATTATGCAGCTCTTCACATTCCTGCAGTCTTACTTTGGCAGAGTTATCTGCTTTGGAGGCTCATAAATCCAGAATTTTAGCAATCTGAAACTCGGTTCAGAGCAGAACATTTCAGTAACATCTTGCCACCCTCATAGTTTTCAGATCTATAACCTCAGAACATTTGATACTCAGCCATGGGTATCACAGAGAGCGAATCTGGTACAAAAATGCATTAACAGAAAGACCATTCAGACCATTAACATCAATAGTATTCTCCTTTTTGTTATTAAATATTACCTTCCTAATTACATTCTGCGAGTTGCAGGAAGGAAATGCAGATACTTTCTTCATTCTTATCCATTGCTCCCACTTTGCAATGGTAAAGCAGATCTTTGAATGGTCTCAGGGTTTATTCCACAGTTTAATGTGGAATTTCAAATAATCTAACAGATGGCATTGTAATCATTTTTACTTCCCCACAGAATGAAAATGAACAAACACTTGACATTTCCAATATGTCTTCATCTACTGCAAGAATTTTTAGAAGCCCTGAAAGAGTGTTATCTGTTTTGCCTTAGATGGACAGGATTGTTAGATGTGTCCTCGCTATCTGCTCTCCTACATTAGCAACACAACTGCGTGGAACAGAAATGTAAAACCACGGAAACACCGTGCTTGCATTTTGCACCAGGAGCTGTGTCCAGAAGGAAGCACAAACATGCAATGCTACAGCTAGTTCTGCAGAAGAGTGGAGTGTTTTCATTAGAGAAATTAGCTGGAGCTGCTGAAGTGCTCAGAAATCAGATCACATTTACAAACCTACAGCAGATGCATCAGTTGGCAAAAGGTTCCTGCAGTCAGTAATTTGCCATTCATCAGGGATTGCCTCTTCAATCTGTGATCCAAGCCAGGGTGCAGATGACACACAAGGATAAATTTAGACATGGCTGAAAACAGTTATTTTGATTAAGTCTCTAGCCAATGACAGTTAGATTCTGCCTGTTCCTCCCCTTCACCCTCACTCACCTCCTCCAGTAAAGGAAGCAGAGATTGTGCTAGTAGAACTTGTCTGCATTTTGCATGTAGTGGATGTTTTGATATAGTTATCACTGGTTTAGAGTCTGTTCAACAGAGAAGGGAACGGCTTTTGATTGAATGAGATACCTTGCTTCAGTGTTAGCATCAGTTTAGTTAGTACTGGGAAAGGTGCTAGGAGGGAAACATCGATGTTTTAACCTGTGAAAGAGAGACTATCTTAAAAATGAAGTAAAATTGTCTTCTCCCTGATCTCTCCTTCCAATGGGAGAAAACCTCAGGCTGGGTGAGCTGATTCTGGCTGGGACATACTTGCTGCTTTCTTGAGTCCATGTGGTGAAATTAACTTTCTAAATGTGTGATGTAGTGTGGTACCCAAGCAACAATTGGTAGCTGCTTTCACTTGTTATCAGACTCAAACTTTGCTGGACACCAGCAGCAAAGTTGTCACCTGGCCCCTCCAGCCTCTAACAGTTTTGATGTTTCCCAGTCGTAGGAACAGGAGCTGTTTGTCTGATCCAGTACACAGGTGTGGTGAAAGCAGTGCCAACTAGGCTCTTAAAACCACAAACAAAAGCATCATTTAATCCACTTCAGCTATTTTATTGGAAACAGAGTGATGTTAATCCTGGCTGACAAACTTGTATCTGCTAAACACCAGCTTGCTGTGATCATAAGCAGCTCTGTTTTTTTCAAAAGAAATAATAATATGGAGGTGAAATGCTACTTTTTAAATGATTGTACAGATGCCTTAACATTATGGGGGGGGGGGGGGGGGGGGTATGTACAAACAGTAGCTTCCTTTGGGGCTGTGCCTCTGTGTGTGTAACTTAAATCCTGCTGTAGCTGAAGGCTAGAATTTGTGGGTATCCTTAAATTGTCTTGCAGTTCCTTTCCCCTCATTTCTTTTTTTGGTGTGGATTTCAGCAGAGGTTATTCCTTGGCTCCTTAATGCAGTTACTGCTGCTTACACTGGTATTATGTTAGAGCAGAGGAAGACAGGCAGAACTGGGGGTGGAAAACAGAGCTGAAGGGCTAGAGTTGCAATCTGTAAAGTATAATTGTAAAATAAAATAGCAAACAGTTTGGAAAGAGGAAATTTTATCTTATTTACTCTGTGGTAATTGTTGGCACTTGATTACAATCAGCCACAAGCCTGTGTATGATTGATATCACACTAGCCAGAGCAACCCAAAATAGCCCAACATTTGAGTAATTTTAGTCTTTTCATAATCTAATGCTGTCAGAAATAAAAGCCAGTGTAGCATGTAAGCAAATCAAACTCTCTTCATAGGTAGACTAGGGTAGATTGGGCAATGCTGTGGGAAGGCATACTTGGAAAGCACTGAATGTGTCTTACCTAGAATTAGCTCCTTTCTTGCCCATTAACCTTAATATTTCTGAAATTAGTTAAGTAGTTCTATGCCTAGGTGCTTGTTGGGGTAAGGAGGCTGATGGAGGAGAGGGAAGAACCAACATTAGTTAAAATCTCACTCATTCTCAGAAAGAACCTTGATGAGCAAAATTCTTAGCTGGGCTTTGTCAGAAGCTTGTTGAGCCCTTCCCTGCTGCTGGGCCAAGCAAACTTGAAATGAGTTGGAAATTTCCTGCTGAAGCATCTGTAGATACTGGTTTAATCTTTAGCTCTTGAGTTCCCTCCTATCATTGATCCCCACAGCCTTGTTGAGAGAAGAAGAAAGAATCCTACCACCAGTACAGGATACAAAGGAGGTAATCTTTTCCTGAAATTCTCCAAGTTTCTTTTAAGGCCTCTTCCTAAGGGAATTACACTGGTAGGCTCAAAGCCTTGATGAATTCAGTGAGCTCCCAGGACTACAGTAACATGAGTAATACACATTGCAGCAGCCAAGAATATGTGTAACTCTTTTTCCTTTATTACTAATTGCAGCTTTATTTGGTCCTTGCAGGCAGTGCTGTGCCTGTGGCAGGGGTTTCTGCGCCAAAACACGGGATGACACTGTAGAACTGCTTTTGGCTTTTTGGGAGTATCTTTTGCAAACCATTTTCGGGAATGACCTGCTTAGAGGACAGGCAGAGAACTACAACCTACATGAACCTGTCAAGAGGATTAGTCATTAAACACCTTTGTGGATGTTTGAATTCAGAATTAAAGTGGCTTTAAGTGGATTTAGCTTCCAAAGTAAATTCAGGTAAATCAAATGAAGGTTAATTCAGTGTAAAGGTGTGGGCAGACATCCTCATTAAGGGCTATGTGGAACAACTGAGAACATAAATACTTAGCTGCTCTTCACCACACTTCTGCTCCCTTTGTGCTCCTTTAGTGTTTCACAGCTCGGCTCACCAAATGGGGTGCTTGCCAGTCTCACACTATGGTAGGTTATTTTGGATGAATTCTGCTCTGAATACTTTAATGAGCAGTTTAGTCTGGTTGATTGAATTGACATTTGCAGGGATTGCAGCTGTGTTGCACTTAGCTGACTGCAATGGAGAGTGTGGCCCTCAGCTGATGCTGTTAACAAGTAACCTTGGAAAAGTCAACCCCGTGAACAGCTGTTTGCAAAAGGAGTGTGTGTCCATGCCTGTAGAATACATGTACTCAGGATGCCTGTGGGGCCTTGAGGGTATTTATTGAAGGATCAACTTAAGAAGGATGTGGAGCTGTTGGAGTCACTCCAGCAGAGGCCATGGAGATGCTGCGAGGGCTGGAGCAGCTCTGCTCTGGAGACAGGCTGAGAGAGCTGGGCTTGTTCAACCTGGAGAGCCTCAGCCTGTGAGGGTGCTGAGGGCTGGCACAGGGTGCCCAGAGAAGCTGTGGCTGCCCCATCCCTGGCAGTGTTCAAGGCCAGGTTGGATGGGGCTTGGAGCAACCTGGTCTAGTGGAAGGTGTCCCTGCCCATAGCAGTGGGTTGGAACTGGATGAGCTTTAAGGTCCCCTCCCACCCAAACCAGCCTGTGATTCTATGATATGATTCTATGATCATAGCTGTTGAGAAGCAATACACTTGTACATACTGGAAAATGTGATTTTAAGGTCCAGGTTCTGAATAAAAGAACTGTCAGGGGCAGCACATTGACTATAGATGGGCATAACAAGCCAGTAATTACAGCTGCAGCTCCAGCATCACTGGGAGAACAAAAAATATCCCATAAACAATAACCCCATGGGTCAAGCTTGGGGTTGTTTCTTAAAGAATAGGACTCTAAAAGGAGGGAGAGTTTGCATCCTAAATAACTACGTATCAATACTAAAGAAAGGAGAAGAGTCAGCTTAAATGTACCATTGTCTATTGAAATGAGGTTTGTTAAATAAAGCAGAAAACAATGAAAGTTTTGACACAGATTATTTTGAAGGCATTTCAGTGATCTTAAAAAAAAGAAAAAAGAAAAAAACATGAATCCTAAAGTATACAGATCAAACCTGACCAGGCTATTTCCAGCTGTGACCATGCGCTGTTCCATTCACCAAGCAGTGTTTGCCTAAGTGAAGTCCCGGGTGACAGCTCTTCAAGAAGAACTGAAGTGCTCAGAAAGGTGTCACTGATATAATGACCTAGATTTTATGGCTTGTGCTTCCTCTTTGATAAATGCTTGCTAGGTATTAATTGCCCCTCTCTGTTGGCAATGAATGTAATTCATTCCTGATGATGAATATAGTTCCAGTAATCCAAATGACTTCCATTTTCATAATATTTTTTGACAGGAAGCCTCTTACTTGCCAGCTATTGACACATTGCCTAGTCCACACTATGAAAAATGAGGTGCTACTTCTGACCTTTCGGCTGTCAAGTTGTGGCCAAGTAGCTACAGATCAGCACAGGGAGCAGGGGCCTGCTGTGCTGCTGAGAGCAGCCATCATCTACCAGGCTCTTGTGACACGGCTGCTCCCTCTGGTGAGTACCTGTGGTGGAAGTACACAAAAGATTCTGCATGATTAAGGCTGTACTTTGCCCATATATATTCTGATGAATATATAATAATTCTTGAAATCTCCTTCTTCCAACAGCTGCCAAACAGTGGCTGAAAAAAGGGGAAATTATGTTCTAACTCACTTTAAATTCAGTAAATGGGTCTTGCTGAAGTCAGGGGGGCTGGATTGTGCCTGTAGTTCATAAAGAACAGGGCACAAAAAGTAAAACATTGCTGGGCCAGACTCACAGTGGTCAGAAGGGATTACTGAAGTAGAGGGGTGTGGAAGTGCTATACCTCGTCCTTGGAACAAGAAGCAGATGCACACAAGTGCCTATTTCTTACCACTTGTTCTGGTTAAGAATAGATCCTTTCTGACAGTCAAGAGGTCTGTAAAAAAGTGGTGGTCTGTTTCCTCTTAATTGTCTTTTGGATGACATATTTTTCTCCTCTAAAGGAACCACCTATTCCTCACTCTTCCCATCCACCCCATATTAGTCTTTTCCCCTAGGAAGAGCAGGGTATGTGTATTTCTCCTGCACATTGACCTCATTCTTTTTCCCTGGTTAAAGACCTTGGAATACCAATCCCAACCTGTGTACTCCAGGTAGGTTTCACCCTGAGCAGACAAGGCTTTTAAATCACTTAAACTCCACTTAAACAGTATTAATTGTTAAGGATGCTCTCACTTCCATCAAAACATTGCTAACATTCTTTTATGTTAGTTCAGTGCTAATGAAAATCATGACTTCAGCAGCACCAGAGTCTGAATCTTCCATTCAGGAACTAGTCAGCTCATGACCAGCTGCAGTGTGAGTTGTCTTCCCTAGTATTATTCCCATTTAAACCTGAGCTCTGACTTGTAGCAGCTTTTTCCAAGGGTATCTCATCTTCCAGGGCTCAGCGTCACTCTACTAAGACTACAGGGTCAAATGTTGTAATGGACTTTGTGCCCAGGAGAAACCAGGCTAAACTCCACTGATTTTTTTTCAGAGAGGTTCTCAAAGAGCTGTTGGGTAGCAATGAAAAAGTCTTTAATTGAAAGAAGTGGAAAGCTTGTGGCATATTTATCCCAGATTCTCATCTGGTCACAATTCATGCCCCTCCACTGATTCACTGGCCTCCAGGCTTGTGTAAATCAGCATATCTATTGATTTCATTGGAGATGTGCTGATATCTATCAGTAGAGAGCATGACTCTCCAGATGGGACCATTCCCCAGTGGTGGAACTGCTGTGGGATTTCCTGTGTGAAATCAGTGTTCAAAGTAGTCAAGGACTTGGTAGTGCTATTTTGAGTCGTACAGCTGACCTATGCAGCAGTTTGAGTATCCAATCTGGCCCTATGGGGAGAACATATTTCTGAAGGCATTTATCTCGCTGTAAATAGTTTTGGTTTATATATACAGTAAATAGCAGAGCTGTTAATCCATCATGACCATAGTGATGGTATAGACCATGAGAACAAGACATAGTGGTTTCTGTATTCACCAGAACCCAAGGAAGGAATTGCATTCTTGTAATTCAAACATACCATCTCTGCCTCACACGGTGGCTGCTACTCCTTTCTCATGGCTTTGCCAGTTGCCTTAGTCTGGCATTCCCATAGCCTTCTGCCCTCTTTCACCTGCTCCCCAGGTTTCAGGATGCTTTGCAGTACCACAGTGCCTTCCCAGACTTTTTCAAGTATCATTTCTGCCTCTCTTCTACCCAGTAATAAATTTTCTCATGTATTCTCTATGGTAAAGCTCATTATGTTTCAGCCTTATGAGCCAAACAGTGGTCTGTCCTGCTCAAACCCTATCTCTGGAATGAAAGTGATATTCATGATAAAAGATGTCCTGTGATCATTTTGGGGTTGGCAGAAGTTTCTTTTTACCCTTATTGTTTTGGGTCTATATTGGAAAATGGAATGTTTGCCTCCCACACACACCTCAGTCTAAGAGGTGTATTTGCTGGAGAGGGATAGACAGGGTTTTGGCTATTAGTGATCACTAAAAGGGAAGACCAAGGCTTATTCAGGAAGCCTGTACCAGCTCCCCAGAATAGTATAACCACTTAGCATTGATTTTTGAACCGAGATTGGCTCAATCTCATTACCATTAATAAAGGCAGCACATGCTGCCACTGTGACAAGAACATGAAGTGCAGCGTTGACAGGGACTGTTCCCATTTCTTGCTGGAACAGAGAACTAGTGCAAATTCTGACTTTCACATAGCGAAACTGGTGGAAGCCAGAGTTTGCAAGTCCACATTGACAAAATAAATCCTATGATATATCAAACCCTACATGTTATTCCTATTTAATTTGGACTTTATTGATTTTCTTACGGCTAAATCACAGTTAATCCATGAATTGAACATGAGTGCTCCTTGTATTATTGTACATTATGGGGGTCTACTCAAAAGCAACAGAGCAAGATAAAGGGTTATTTTGAGTTTCTAAATCCAGCCATCTAAAAATGAAATTATGTTCAAATGGATTTACAGGTGCCTTCTGTGAAAATGGAAGATGGACCCAAGGCTCTGTTTGAGGTGGTAGGGCTGCAGCAGGCCTGGGGAGAGGGTGGGTTGGCCCTACATACTTGTCTAACAGCAGCAGATGAGTCTTCAGCCCAGAACAGCACTGAGACCCAGAAGATAAAAGTGAGTAGCAGTGTTTACACTTGCTAGTCATGCACAGCAGCCACAGCCAGTGACCACAGGTTTTCACTAAGGCCCAGGCTTGGCTATTGGCTTGGCCAATTCAAGTTTCAATTTCAGTGAGCCAGTACAGAGCATGAGTGCTGCTCTAAATTAGACTGAGGGGAGAGCTCAGTACTGTGGGAGCTGAATGATTGCTTCCAGCTGATTGCCAACTCAAGCTGTCCTCAGTTATGCTGAATTTAGATTTAGCGCAGATTAGAAGCCAGCTCTCTGTGGTATGGGCTTTTTGTCTCTACTGCTCATTAGCTGGTAAGGCACTTTTGGAGGCTATAACCCCACAGTTTAGAAATTTAACTGGATTCAGAGGAGGTATATCTTTGGCATGTGTTATAGGTTTTCTTTTTAACTCTTCTATTTTAATTATGTGAAGTTCCAGAGGGAGTATTGTCTTGCTGTTTGGCTCCCAGGAGTCACAGCCCAGAGGCAGGACCTTAGACTCTGTTCCCTCAGCTCTGGTAGACTGCAGTCTGTGCTGTGTAATAGAATGCCAGTCTGAGAGGTGTAGCACACAACTGATAATCCAGCACATACAGTTGTAATGAAGGGGATGATATGAACTCATATCCTGAAAACAGCAGAGCTGTGAAATAGCAGCCCTGGGTTCTAGTTTGTTGGTTCTGTCATTTCACAGAGCAAATGTCTTTTTTTTGGAGACAGTTTTTTAGGTATTATTGCTACTGCTTCCCGCTATAAATGCCTATCCTACCTATGCAGAATAGCTGACTTGCTGGAAAATGTATGCAGCTACATTTGGAGAGCAGCTATCTTTGTGTACCCCAGATCCCCAGATCTCCTGTGGGTCATTTGCTTGAATAACTATACTGTGACTGAATAACCTCCGAGGTGCTGGCCCTGCACTCTGTTGAGGCTGGTGAGTTTCTCTCAGGTAGCTCAAAATAACACTTGTGGTTTTAGTGAGCTGGTAGATTTTTCTACCCTATTTTTGCTTGCTTCACTCCTGATAATGTTAGCAGGAGTGTGGCAATAGATGTGTTCGTTCTCCACACTTCCTCTTGCTGAGAAGACACAATAGCAGGTGGTCTTAGGGGGGCCTAGATATCTGAGTCGTACCTGCTGGACACACCATGTGAAGTTTAAATGGAGGAAGAGGTGTAAAGATGGTTTAAAAACGTCCTTATGCTTCCCCTACTTGGCTGCAGCAAACATCCTTTGCTTGCAGCTGCCTGCCTGTGAGCTGTAAAGATTACATTGCCCATAATGTATCATAAAGGCTGGAATATGACAGCTGTGGCTCCAGTGCTCCTGCAAGAAAATGATTGATGCTGGCAACAAATGTCATGATTAACACACTACCAAAAATCCCAACCCCAAAACAGTAAGCAACCTTGCCATTAGTGTTTGAGGACTTGGCAGCAGGAGCAGCAGGGCTAATGATACTAACGATGAAGAACAGGAGTAAACCCTCAGACAAGAGCTTAATTCTGATTTCTGTGTAAAGTAACCGAATTCAAGATGTTTGCTGTATGGAGCAAAGAAAATGGAGGAGGAGAGACTGACCTGCCTTCTGTCCGTGTGCCTTGTTGCTCTCTGGTGGTTTCAGCTGAGGTGTTGGCCATATCAAAATTATTGAGCACTGACTATGCTCAAAATACATACCCAGTGTTATGCAATTAATGAATGAACTTTTGAAGCTGTGGGCTCGGGATGCTCGGAACATTTGTTTGGAGCAGGGATGTGTTGTATCACAGGTTGGTGGAACAAGCTGTACAGAGCTTCCAGTCCATGTATAAATTGTAAATGCTATTCTGGTGCCTCATTTACGGTTCCTGATACTGCTTGAGTTCAGCTAGTATGTACAGGAGTGGACATCCAAGGCATTCGGTCAGTGTTCCTCAAACTAGGACTGTGTGTAACTGAGGTTTCCTCTCATTAGAGGCTCTACTGTAGCAATTGCTTTTGACAGTTTTGCTTTCCTAAGGCATTTGTAAAGCTGCTGCTTTCCCTAGCAGAGATTAAGCTTAACACAAGTCTTTGAGAAATTCAGCTGCAGCAGACACCAGGGAAGCAACAGCAAGTAGTCCTGTCTCCCCATTCCTCCCTGGGCAGTTTCAACTATTGCTGGAGAAAAATTGTTGGTGATTGATTTTATTCTTCACACTTAAGTCTTCAGGCTCTTGTTGTACTGTTATCATAGAGGTTTTTAACGATTGAATCTGGTAACAAAATTCTGTTGTGGCAGATTCTTGTTTCAGTTGTCTCCTAGGGGTGTGAAGAGCATCACTTACCATGGTTTACCTTCAAAATAGGGCCCGGTTTCCAGGTGGTTTTGTTGTATCTCTTTGCTGTTAAGAAAGTAGGACAATCTTAGTTAGTCTTTTTTTGGATTCTATAAAAGAAGCCATACCAAGTAGTGTAAATGTTAACCAGAAGTGTTATGACAAATGGATATTTTAATGTACTCAATATGTAGAGTCCAGAGTGTATTATTCAGTGCCAAAGGTGGGTATGTATAAGACTACACAAACTATTAGGTCCAATTCATGCCTGCTTGACGCTAACATAGAAATGTCTGTCTTTGTGTATCTGTACTCATATCTTGTAATAGCAGAGTAACAGTTGGTCACGGATTTTCTTCACATTATTATATGACTGTGATTTTTGCAGCAGACATTGTATTGCTGGTCTAAGAGCCTAAGGCCCTATCAGTATCAACAAGGCAAGGTTTGACTTTCCCCAGCTTGTCCCCTGTTAATTCCTGACCCTACTGTGATTGAACATGCTGAATGCATTTGTTACTTTTTGGCTTTGATGTTATTTGGTGTTGGCTTGTTGCCTGCTGTAGAGTCACACTCTAATGCTGGGGTACAGTTCATCACCAAGAACAGGACCAGGGCAGCTGCAGGTGTCATGGCAGTACAGGTTGTTGCTAAGATACTTTTCTTGGTTTAGTTTGCTTGGGTCCCCCCTCGCCCCAAGTTGTTATCAACTGGAGCTGAGCTGTATTCCAGACCTCTAAGCCATCAACTTTTTATTTACTGGACACTTCAGTGTCATCTGTGTGTCTTTTATTGTTTGTCACATTTTATTTCTCTCTCCCAAGGTCTAATAGTTATGAATACAAATATAATAATGGTTTCTCAAGGCAAAAGCTCCTGTTCTTACCAGATCAATAAGACTTATTCAAGTAGGAAGGCATCTATCTCTGTATCTAGTGGTTTTGCTATGTTTCTTCCCATCTCTGTCAGGTTTTTGTGGTTTAGTCTGGGTTGTTTTATTTCTGTCCTCCAAACAACCAGTAGAAGCGAAGCAAATTCAAACCTCCTTGCATGGTTTAGGTTCTTGACTTACTGTCAGAACAAATGCTCGTACAGTCCCCTCTTGTAACTCTTGCATGCTGACAGACAAGCTGCAGTTACAGCCTGTCTGATGGGAATTAGATTTGTACAGAGTATGCTTTCTAAGAATCTACTAAGCATTCCCAATTAGGCACACCAGCACCCTGCAGAGCAGCATGGTTCTTGTCTGTATGATTCAATCACACAATGATTCTGTGGTGGCTCAGAATCATAGAATCCCAGACTGGTTTGGGTTGGAAATGGCCTTAAAGCTCATCCAGTTCCAACCCCATGCCACAGGCAGGGACACCTTCTGTGATCTCTCACAATCTCTTTCATTAGATATGGAGAGCTTTGAGTCCTTTCCAGGCTTGAGCTCCACTTTCTAGGTGTGATAATACCTGTTGCAGAAAAGATACTTTGCATGGCTGTGATTCTGTCAGTTTCTAATTGGGTCTCATTGAGGTCACCAGTTTTGTTCTGTGAAAGTCCTACTAATTAAGAACCGATCTGGAAGAAAAAGGGACTCAGAGGGCAACTTTGGTGATGGGAAACTGTAATATAACAGTGTAGTGCAATGTTAATGTAACAGTATTAATATTAGTCTTAATCTTAAAAAAAAATCTTGAAATTAATAAGGCTTTTTATTTATATCCTTATGAAGCCCTTTACAAATTAATGTCTCATTGTATTGGGCTGGTTTATGGTCCTGTTTATGGCATTTCCTTCCTCTTTAGGTGTGGTATGTAATGTGCTTTGGAGTAATATTTGTGGGCTGACCAGTATTGTGAGCCAGCTATTTTACACCAGCATCTTGCAACAAGGTGAATACTGCTATTAACTCAACAGTCACCATCTGTGGTGGAGCTTTATAGCTGAGCAGTCTGAGTGCGTCGAGTGCTCTGGAGGAAGGGCAGTGCTGCTGATCTCCTTGCACTCACTAAGAGACGCTCTCTTTGAGTCAGGTCTATGTGAAGGCATGTCCCTTATCTATGGTGTGAGCCCTTCCACACAGCTGATGGGTGTAACTGGCTGTTGCACACAGCATCTGCTCTCCAGCTCCATCTGCTGGACCAGGAGCCCCAACAGTGGCAGGACCTTCAGTTTTGTCCTTGGGCTTGGGAGTAGAGACCTTATGGGGTGATAAATAGGACCCAGGATCATGGAAAGAGCGTGCTTTCTGTGAGTGAAGGAACAGGTCTAGAGTTCGGGTTGTGTGATATGATGCTTTGAGAAGCTAATCTAGGGCTTTGCTTTGCAGAATCTGAAGTGCAGATGTGTGAAGTGTGAGGCAGAGCTGGCTGCAGGCAGAGAAAGCTGCTACAGGTGCATGGTACGGGACAGAAAGTTCCCGAGACCGTGATCAGTGCTTTGTAACTATTGACTCTTTGCAGACTAAAAATGATCTACAAGAAACATTTATTTTTTTACCAGAAGATTTCTTCATTTCTAGCCTGTATGTGGCTTCCAGGTGTTACCTGGTAGAGGGCAGAACTGGCTGATTACTTCCAAAACCGGCTGTGTCCTCTTCCTGCAATTCCCTCTGTCCTGCTCAGTCATGTCACTGGTATTAATCCTGATCCTCAGGTACTGTATGGAAATGCTTGGACCTCTGGCAATTATTTTTTTCCCTCATTAGGTCCA